AAGATTACAGTGAGGTGCTGGGTGCAGTCTCTCACACCTGTAGTCCCAGCAATTTGGGTGGCCGAGGCAGGTGGATCACTTGAGTTCAGGAGTTCGAGACCAGCCTGGGAGGCATGGTGAAACCCCATCTCTACCAAAAATACAAGAAATTAGCCGGGCATGGTGGCTGGAGCCTGTGGTCCCAGCTATTCAGGAGGCTGAGGTGGAAGAATCACTTGAACCCAGGAGGTGGGGATTGGAGTGAGCCAAGGTCCTGCCACTGTACTCCAGGCAGGGTGACAGAGTGAGACCCTATCTCTAAAAAATAATAATAATAATTAAAGGTACCAAAAATAAATAATTGATGGTAATGCTAACACAAATTAAATTTAACCTTCAAATTACTTATGAGAAATGTAGTATATCATAAGGAAGTCAATAGTAAGAAATTTCATGTTTGTAGACAGTGTTTTCATGTATTTTAACATTTTGCAAATAGCATGCTAATTGCAAATTCATTTTATTTAATCTTTAATAGTTTATATTGTGAATTCAAGGCATCTTCTATACTTGTCAATAATGAAAAGGCATTTCTCTTTTTAAAAATTCTATTAAGTCAGCCTTCTTATTCCTTAGGAACATGAACCAGCATGGTTTGGTTTTGAATCTAATTGTTCAAACACTTTACAAAGTAAATAGGAAAATAATTTGGGAACATTATTTAAACTTGTCAATCTATGATTCTGTTTTTCACGTGACAGCTAATCACAATGTGTTCTCTACTCCGGAAGTTTAACTCAGTATATGGATTAACACCTGTTCTACTTGTGTGATATTTCTTATGACAACCACAGAAAACATATATGGGGCCGGGCACAGTGGCTCATGCCTGTAATCCCAGAACTTTGGGAGACCAAGGCGGGTGGATCCCTTGAGCCCAAGAATTTGAGACCAGCCTGGGCAGCATGTCAAAACTGCAGCTCTACAAAAAATACCAAAATTAGCCAGGCTTGGCGGCACATACCTGTAATCCCAGCTACTCAGGAAGCTGAGGTGGGAGGATCACCTGAGCTGGGGAAGTCAAGGTTGCGGTGAGCCGTGATCGTGCCACTGCACTCCAGCCTGGGTGACAGAGTAATACCCTGACAAAAAATAAAAATAAAAATAAAATAAAAATAAAAAAAGAAAGAAAAGAACAGAACGGCTGGGCGTGGTGGCTCACACCTGTAATCACAGCACTTTGGGAGGCCGAGGCGGGAGGATCATGAGGTCAGGAGATCGCGACCATCCTGGCTAACACGGTGAAACCCCGTCTCTACTAAAAATACAAAAGCAAAATTAGTCGGGCATGGTGGCGGGTGCCTGTAGTCACAGTTATTGGGGAGGCTGAGGCTGGAGAATGGTGTGAACCTGGGAGGCGGAGTTTGCAGTGAGCCAAGATC